GTCATTATCTTCTATTGCTGCTTTCATTGTTTCACTCCCCCTCAAGCTGGAGTGCAGCTTACAATAGATTTGATATAAAGAAAGCGAAAGGCCTGGCTCAACAAGGACATAGTGAGAATATCAAAAAGAATTAGTATATCAAATACCATCAATCATGTGATTTGCTGATAGAGTTATTTGTGCTATTAGTTAGGCTTCAATACCTAATCTAAGAAATAATACACACACCTTGTAAAAGTACACACTCCGTTACATACTATGGTCTTCGTTACTTGTTACACACTTCCCTTGCAACTCCCCAAATGCACCCAACCCTTTCTTTCTCTCTCTTTTTTCCTTTCTCTTTCTTGTTGTTCCAACCAAACAGTACATTCAAGTACCAAATCAGAATCTTGAGGAAGAGTCCATTTTCTCACAAAATCATCCTTGTTTTAAACCCATGATTTTGTAGCCCATTAGACACATAAAACAAGTCTATTTTTGGAATGATATAGCAAAAAGTGGAGTGCATGTGAGTGGAGCCAATTGTCAAAAAAAAAGGAAAAGAAAATTGGGGAAATTTTTGTAGCTTTGGTACTCTACACAGCTTTCCCATTATTGTTTTTTATTTTTTTGGTTTTTCATAACTAGTGTGGCATAAGTTTAAAAACATAATTATTGTATTTTTTAACATTAATTAATATAAAAAATGTAATTACTGTATCTGTTAACATTATTGTCCCTTTTATTTATATTTAATCAACTACTATTCAATTATAATAATTCAACATTGATAGTGAAATTAATATTAACTTTTATATTTTTCAATTCTTCTCAAGTAATATAACCAAAATTACATAACTTAAACTTGTACCCTTTAAAAACCCCTTTGAGTTTTTCGTAACTGACACAAAGCCTCTCCTAAGACAAAGTTATCACCCACCAAATAATATGTTATAGCCATCAAAATTGTAAAACATTGTCTTTAAAAATATTAATTTTATTAATTTGATTAATAAAAATAATTAATAACTATAACTATTAACTAATAACTTATAAAAATGTTAATATTTAATATAGTTAACAAATTAAAATTAATCAACAAATTAATATTTTCAAACACTACTTAAAAATTAAAGTTAAACTTTCGATAACTTTAACATTTTTAATGGTTACAATGACCACACCCCATAGTTGTAGAACTTAGAGAAGCATTCTCTGAGTTCTATTTCTTTTTGCTGTATCTAACATTGAAAGCATTGGAGACAAGATACTTTTCTTTGTTATAGGGGAATATAAAATAAAATAAAATAAAATAAAAAAGAAAAAAAAAAAGGTAAACTAAAACCTAATAACTAATTAAAACGACTGTTATCTCTTTTCCTGTTTTCCACTTTCCATTCCTTCAAAGAGAGACCATGCCTTGGGCAGGAATCATGTAATGAACAAAACAAGAAAAAAGAAAGGCATAAAATATGGTCTCCTGCCACAAATATAAATAGCTTTTAGCTTAATAAAGAGAGCATTTACCAGGATGAAGCGGCAAAACCTCCAGGACCCAATTATGTGACAACATTTACAAGAAACTGGATACCGACTAACGAAGCTGCTGAATAGCTATATACAGTGCTTTCTCATCCTGTATCATCTGTTGGAGTAGGCAAAAATGTATCTGCGGAAGCAAAACCACTTGGCTTCTTTGTTGAAAGAACCAAAGAATTTGAGAAAAAATTTCACCAGGGATCGGTCACCAAACACTTGTCAATAAATACTGCAGGCTCCTCCACTTAGTCTGAAAAGAACTCTTCAACTTCTGGTTGCTCTGGTTTAAGTTGAATGGTGTCAATATTAGTTTCATTAGGTAGCTCCCTTAGCCCACTTCTGATGTCCAAATAATCCACATCGGATGCATCTTGTTCATCCTCAATGGACTGCTCATCAGTGGCGTCACCAGCATCCTTGTTATTCTCCTTGTTTATAAGTTCTTCAGGAGTTTGGTTTTGTGCAGTTGGACTTCCCCTAGCCTTTGCTTCAGAATCTTCACATATGCAGGATGATGGATTTTCGTGAAACTCACCTCTTCCAGGTTTCACCTCATTTGGCTCTCCCATGAAGCCAATCTGATTAGTTCTGACCTTAGATGCAAATTCTTCCCATGTCATGTTGTTTCGGTTCAAGAAAAACCGGTATAGCTTCTTGGCATTTGGTCGGATTGTTGGTTTGTGTCCGAAGTATCTCCTGCAAGAGATAAATATATTCAATTAAATAGGCAGTAACCAGCTTTGCTATTAATATTCCATCACTCGTGAGAATATGGTTGAACTTTGAAGGGACTATTAGGAAACTATATATCCTGATACCATAACATCAAATGTCTTAACTAGTGAGAAGGTGAAGGCAACATGGGGAGCAAGCAAGTTCAATCTCACTCATTCTTCAGTCAGATCATAATGGATCTATTTTCAACCCCTTTTAGAAACTTCAATATTAAACCATATGATGCTAAGGAACAAAAGATAAACTAGAAACACATAAAAACCATAATTGAAAAGAATGCTCTGAAAAGAATAAGTTGGATCCATCCTTGCAAAGACTTCCAAGCTCAACCCAAGATAGAATAGAAGGGCAGCATACCTTCGTCCAGCCAACATTCTAGCCATGTTTCCATTATTGTTTGTGACAAAAACATCACTTTCATCACAAACAATGTAATCCAGTGCAGCCATGCGAGAAGAAAATGCTGAAAACGGTTCCAACTCCTCCTTGGTTGCTATAGTTTCTTTTGAATGAAAATTTGGGAAGAGTGCTTTGAGAGGGGCTAATGTCTCTTCACCCCCATACACTTCACCTGAAGCTACATAGATGTGAACATCACTTCCAAAACCTAATGCTCTTAGCATTAGACCAACTTCCTCTGGGGTAAGTGGACATCTTCCATGCCTTCGCACCTTTTCGGGGTTGCTTGCCTGCAAGTTGCATCAAAATAAAACTGTCATAATACTTCAGAAGCTATCTGGATAAATGATGATTCTCTGGAATCAGCATGGCCTTACATGTAAAGTTTTCCACCTCTTCCGGATTGCACCAAGTTCTTTCCTTTCTTTATCTCCTCCACCATAATAACATCCAGAGAATGCAAGCATATCAGGTTCAAACCTGTGACACATTCAATAAATTGTGTTAATGAAGCTAAGCACTGACATCCTTCGCCAATTTAAAACAAATAAACTTGTGTTAACTAAGTTTTCTCATTCAAATTTGAAAAATTAAAATTCATCAAGATATCAAGACCATTGAGGCATGGTACAAACCAAGTATTGTAAATATATGTCTATAATAACAAAAACTCTTTTACAAAGAAGATTGATATAATTACAGATTTAAAGGGACTGTTACCTCAAGTGCAAGGCAATAAAATGCTTGGTTTTCATCCTCATTCTATCAACCAATAGTTGACCCATTTGAAGAATGGGATCAGTGAACCTTAGAGCATGGTAGTTGACCCTACATCTGAGCTTTTGTAAATCTGTCTCCAGCCTATTTGAAAGCCGGTAATCAAATTTTGTCAGCTGCACAGCCTGCAACATTAAAAGGATTGTATTGTAAGTCTAGAAAATGGGACACAGGCTTCCATTAAACTTAAACAAAAGGTAAAAGAAAATCAAAAATGAAAATTTGGCATGTCCATGATTATTAACAGAATATATAGAAAAGACAGCATAAAAGTTCTGTAACACACATGCTAATAAGAGCTAATAAGGCACTTTACACTCACTTTTCCTGAGTTTGAAGATACATAGTGCCAATACCATATTCTACATTTGTTTAGCCTTAGTCCTTATCAGTTGCTATAAAGTATAATCAACTTCCTGTCACCCTGGTTCCCAGGCCGTTTGAACAGAAACTGTCTTTAGCTGAAACTACTTTTTTTTCTTTTTTCTTTCTTTTTTTTTTTTGTGATAATAAAAAAAATTGAAATAGAGTAGCAGAATTTACACCATGCTCAACATTTGTTTAGCCTTAGTCCTTATCAGTTACTATAAAGTACAACCAACTTCCCATCACCCAGGTTCCCAGGCATGATTGAACAGAAACTGTCTTTAGCTGAAACCTCTTTTTTTTTTTTTTTGGTGCTAATAAAACAAATTTGAAATAGAGTAGCATAATGCCTTAACAGAGTAGCAGAATTAAACCAAGACAATGTTTGAAACCAAACATTCTATCAAACAAGAATCTTCACTTACACAACAATGTGACAAAAGGTTCAACCGTCTAGCCTACAATACCGGCCTTCACTACCTCCTACTATCCTACAAGACAGTAATAGAACAGCAGAATAAACTACTGAAAATCTTGTTCAAGAATTCCAGCATGACCTATTGCATTAGGTTCCCGTTTTTTTTCCTAAAAAATCATATTTAAAACAACGATATTCAGGATCTCAAATTTGTGGAAGTATGTAAGGTAACTTCTTGCAAGATACACACTTGACTTCTTGTAATCGATCACAGACTTACATGCTTCTTATTTAGAACCGGTAGAACCTGATTCTCATAGCATTTTCTATTGCACTTCCTTGGAACACGCATGTTATATGGAGTCCAAACTTTCCCTCTCTTAGATGGGAGTTCTTTGATGATCATAACATCTTTCATGAGGGATGAAATGAACCAGTCAACATCAAATATTTCACCAAAATTACTGCACGAGACATAAATCAAACATAAATTCACAGAATACATGTACTTTCCCTTAAGGTTAGCGGTAAAATTTAACAGCAAACCTGCTATCATTCCAGTAAGAATTCTGATCCAGCTTAGGAATGACAAGAGTTGCATTCAGAATATATGCTACAACCACAGCATCTGTTATCTGCAGCAACAAAGTTAAATAAGATACGTATCAAGAATCATAGTCTTTTACATACACTATTAAAATCTCTGCAATCGTGCACCCATTAATATAGTTAAAGAATCCCAAGTAAATGTTTACTTTACCAACCCAGCCAATAGCTTCTCATGTTACTCTAGCAGTTACTTTTAAGGAACCTAGCTGTAACATAATAACCCACAAAACCACCTTGACTAAAAATGGTCTGTGAATAAATGATATTTGAATAGGGGTGCCCACTTATTCTAGCTTCTCTCCCCACTTTCCTTTCCTTCCAAACCAAACCAATGCTGAAGTTGATGGTGGAATGTCTAGCTCAGCTTACCCCTGTTCTCTGCTGATTTAAGCCTCCACTAGTAGCAATCATCAAGTATCGATTTGGCTGCATTTTTACATCAGCAGCTACAAAGAGACAGCATAGCTAACCTCAAATCAGCTAGCACCTTGAATCAGTCTAGAAAAGAGTTGAAAAAAATTACAGTAAAAGTAATTGAACAGGTAGCTTGATATTTATGGGCGTGTAAATCAGATAAAAATTTTAGAACTAACACTAATTTTGTGACAATGTACTAGGAAGTAGAATTCTTTCTTCTTTCCCAGAAAGAAATTAAACAGAATCCAAGCTTCAATTAATAAGCTAGTTTTGAAATCTGTAATTAGTCCCAGAATAAGGTAAAATCATTTTACCATAAATGAAAATCATTAAACATCTTGTTTACAAACTGCAGACTTGAGGAACAACAGATAATAGAATTGTTTTTTTCTTTTTTTCTTTTTTTCTTTTTTTGTGATTCAATAGATGATAGATTACAACTATGACTTTTACTCCCTGCAATGTTAATGATTCCAAATAAGACTAAATCCCGAAACGTATTTCAGAAGCAAAAACTAAATTACCCATTCAATGAGATGCAATAGTGAAATAACGCATCAAATTTAAAATTGAACGAGAATTAGAATCGAGAATACTTGAATTCAAAATTTGAAATGAGGATTCGAATTTGGAATACTTTACTTTGAAACTTATGACTTGCATTGCTGCATCCATAGTAGAATTCCGATCCCCTTGAGCTCCACAGATGACGACCTAAATTCCCTCCACCATCCTAAAACAAACAATCCAGAAACAATCAATTTCTCAAAATTACCATTAAAAATTACTAATTAAGGGTACATCATCAAAAATTCAAAAATCGCAAAAAATTAAAAATAACGGAAAGCTCCTTTCAAAATCAAACCAATAATAATAATAATAATAATAATAATAATAATTCTCATACCGGAACTTGAAATAGAGTATTATCAGCCTCCAATTCCAAAGACACCAAAGCCGCTCCATCATTCACCTAGACCAAATAAACAACCAAACATATCACACCAAATCAACTTACTTCTCCATTATTGAACTAAAAATGAAGGAGCTAATGAACAGAATCGAGTACCAGAGCTCTCCATCATTCAACAAAAGTTTTCAAAACCAAATTAAACAACGAAAAAGAAAAGCACATCAACACCGCAAACATGGAAATCACATGATCGCTCAACAAACCGAAACGAATGCATGACGTGTGAACTTACAGGTGACGAGTGGTGGAGGAGGTCATTGGTGGCGGTAGGCGGCGGAGCGAAGACGGAGACTGCGGCGAGGACAAGGAGAATACAACCGGAGGCGGCGGAGAGGAGAGGGAAGAGGCGGTGGCGCCGCCGGAAGAAGAAGAGATAGAACACGGTAGCAAAGGGATCGGCGGCGTGATTTCCTCCAACAAGACCGTTACGTTCTCGCTTCTTCCGTTTCATTGCTAGAGAGAAAACGAGTTGTTGCAGATTCTTCAACATTTATTCATGAAATGAATGAAGAGAACATTTAGCGCACCAGCTTTTCTTTTGTTTCGTTCTGTGCAAAGAAAGAATCCAGATTGCCGGTCTTGAAAATAAAATAAACCAAATCCGTCGCGCGTAAATCTTGAGTGGAATGATTTGGGTGTGAGCAAGCAGAGGGAAGCAGTTGGAGTGTGGGTCTAATTAGGATCCAGTCAGCAATGAGGTGCTGTTTATAAATAATCAAAGTTTTATCCTTTTAATACCAAAAAATATGTTTTATCCTTTAAAAATACGGAAGTTACAGCCTACAATTAAGGCTTACTTTG